ATTAAAATTCAAATGAAATAGTTGAAAATAATGATTACATACTAATAGAATAGGGGTACACTTCTAGGTCAGCATCATCATCTTCTGGATTCATGGTCGTGGGCTGATAGGCCTCAGCTCGTTTCAGCTCGTGAGTAGCTCGCGAGCTGGCTCGTTAAAATAGTGAGCTAGACTTCCAGCTCAACTCGTGAAAAAGTTAAAACGAGCCGAGCTGAGCCGGCCACGAGTCGAACGAGTTAGCAATACAAGATCGAAGTAAAAAAGTATATTCTACCGACCTAAAATATCGTTGTAGTCTGGTTTTCCTTCTCAGACTTCAAAATTAGACATCTTACCTTCTGAACCCTTAAAACCGTTCAAATTACCTCTCTACCCTGGCTTTAAGTGATTTTGAAAGCGGCTTTGGCCTTTTTTAGTATTAGTTTTTTTGGTAAATACTTGACAAGTTTTTTAAACCACATAAAATGCCTCTAAGCTTTTAAAATTTCTAAAAGAAAATCTAGAGATAAATTAGAATACAAAAAAATCTAAATAAAATATTTAGAGCTCATGAAAATAAATCTAGATAGTTAAAACTATATCTATCTCTAGTAAAATGTAAAGAATACCCAAAAAAATCTAGAAAATCTAGAAACATTCTAATTAATATGTAAACATGTTTTACAACTTTTCACAAAAATCAATATGCTACCAACACAAATGATATCATGAATACATTCAACATTAATGTATGTTGTATTTATGCTAGCTGCATCTCATATTTGTACCGTACAAAGTTTCTAAAATATGTCTATATATCAATTATAATGTTATGAGAATTTTCTAGATCTTTATTGATATTTTTCTAGAGTTAAACCTATTTTTTGAAGGTTCTAAAGATGTTTTCATAAGCTCTAAATATTTTATATTGATTTTTCATATACTAATCTAACTCTTGATTTGTTTTGGGAAATTTTAAATACTTAAAGCCATTTTCTATGGTTTAAAAATCTTATAAAATATTTACACATTTTTTAACTATAAAAAGGACAAAACTAAAACTACTCTAAATTAAGGTATGGTGGTAATTTAAACGGTTTTGAAAGTTTAGGTGTAAGATATTTGGTTTGAGCGTTCATGAAATAATAAAATTAGACTATGACGATAACAGTAACTAAAAGAGAGAATGAATTTTTCTTGATTAAATTTTGAGCAACAATTAAAATATATAAGTAAGCCCGCATAGACCCAGCCCAGCCCAAGGCAGGCCTACAGGTAGTGCCGAATGTGTCTGTGTCGGCCCACAAATAAAAAAAACTGGATGTCAGGAAAAGCTAGCGCTCCCGCCTCTCTCGCCAGTCGGCGGGCGAAAACGAATGGCAGCCGCGCACGCGCGGACCCGCCCCAAGCCGCGCCGCCAAACGGCACTGCGGCAGGCGCCAACTCGAAAAAGGAAGCCCCAAACCTCCCACCATCCCACCAAGGTTTCGAAGTTCGAATGCCCAGAGCAGGCCACGAAATCCCTTGGGAACGGTCGCCACAATTTCAAAATCCAAATCCTCCCACGCCGCGGCTCCTCCTCCTCCCCCCACTCCTTTTAAATTTCGAACCCCACCTCCATTCCAGCCTCACACGAATCGCGCACGCTCCCCCCACCCAATCCGCGCACACCAACCCCCCAATCTCCATCTCGGCCGCCACTCGCCGCTCCGGCAACAGTCCCCCGTGGTACGACGGCGGCATGGACGCGCTCCCGGAAGGCGTCGTTCAGCACATCCTCTCGCAGCTCAGCAACGCCCGCGACGTGGCCTCCTGCGCCGCCGTCGCCCGCTGCTGGCGCGACTGCATGCCCTTCCTGCCGTCGCTCTACTTCCCGCGGGGCGCGTTCGAGGCCGTGGGCGGCGGACCGGCGTCGGCGTCGGCGGTGGCCGCGGCCGACGACGCCATCGGCCGGATGGTCGACGCCGCCGCGCGCCTCGAGGAGCTCGTCGTGTACTGCCCCTTCTCCGCGTCGCTGCTCCCGCGCTGGCTCGCGGCGCGGGCCGCCACGCTGCGCGTGCTCGAGCTGCGGGTGGACTCCGCCGCCACCGACAAGTCGGGCCACCTGGACTCCATCGGGGTGGCTGCGGGCCTCGAGGAGCTCAGGCTGTGGGGGCTCACGATGACGCGCGCCCCCGCGTGGGACCGGATGGAGCGGCTCCGCGTGCTGGAGGTCGTCGGAGCCGTGCTGGACGACGCCGCGGTCAACGGCGCCGTGGCCGCGTGCCCCAACCTCACCGACCTCGCGCTGCTCGGGTGCGAGTGCGCCGGGGAGGCGGTCGTCTCGCTCGCCCTGCTCGAGCGGTGCCGGCTCGACTTCGTCGGCTCTGGCAACTGCTCTCTCAGGTTCGCCGCGCCCCGCGTCGAGTCTCTTGAGATCCAGGGCTTCTCCTTAATCTCTCTGCAAGGTGGCCACCGTCTCAAACATCTCACAATCTCCAAGAACACTGGTACGCTCCGGATGCCCCTTTGCGTGTTCCCCTGCGAAACAGATTTGATCCGTTTCACATTGCCCGATGGTTACTATTCAAAAATGGGATGTTCTAGGTACTCTGTATCATGTCGAGATGGGGAAGCTCCCGGAGCTGGACCAGCTCTCGCTGCGCGGCGTGCAGTGGAGCTGGGGTGCAATCAGCTCGGTGCTGCAGTGCGCTGGCGAGGTGAAGCACCTGGTGATGAAGGTTGAGTTCTGCGGTGATTATGACACGCTGCAGCCCTTTCCGGAGATCGACCTCGTCGAATTCTTCAATAGCCACCCGAAGCTTCGCAAGTTCGAGATCCACGGCGCCATGTTCGCGGCGCTGTGTCAGAAGAACAGCCTGAGGAAGGTAAACCATGCCATACCGGCTACCGCTTCTATGTTTGCAATGTTTCACTTCTGGACTTCTAGTTGGTGTATGGCGTAACTAATAACTCTGCTCTGTCAATGCAGTTGGATTCGAGGTTCGTGATACCTTCCTTGGAGCAGGTCCTGGTCACCGTGCGGTCACCTCTGAATGCTGAGCAGAAGCTGAACACCCTCGAGTCCCTTGTCAGGTACAGCGTGAGGCTAAGAAGGATGATCATTAGGATTTCTCAGATGAAGAACTGCCATGATGCTGCTGATGATTTCTTTGAGGAGATTTGCAAGTTCACTTACATGAACAGTGGGAGAGTGTGCATAGAGTAGAGGAGTTGCTGCATTTTGCCATTCTTGAAGTGAGTTAGCACTAAACCAAGGCAGCTTTTACCCAATGTGTTTTCTCAGGACAATTTGATTGAATAATTTATTGTTTGTTTTGTTGTTCAACCAGCCTGAATGTATCTGCACCTCAGGCTAGAAATCATTTGGTTCTATTTTTCACTAGTTCAAGTTTTGCGCCTGTTAACTGCACTGTTCTTTGATTCCTGAATGTAATATGCAGTCTTGGTTTGTTACTGTTCTTTGGTCTAAACATTTTTTCCCCAATTGGTACAATCTAGTTTGATATGAAAAATAAGTTGATTGTAGCCATTTGACTGCACATTATTCAGTGGCTGATTGGCTTTATGGACAACTGTCATCTGATGACATTGCCACCAATCCATTTATACAACATCCAGCAGAAATTGCATGATGATAATGTGTCACATCAATGAAAAATTCTAGATATTCATAGGAGTACCAATGTTACCATTGCCATACAGTGGTACAATCCAAATGGTGTGCGCTCCAGTTAGGCAGTTACACATACAACTGATGAACAAACCAAGCAACCCTATTGATCTGCATTTTGCTATTCCTTCTGAATGAAGTGAACCTTCCAATGGTCTATTCTGTTATATATGTGGTCAATCATGTTTCTAATATATGGAACCTATAAGTAATGGACACATCTAAGGAAAAGTGGTACTTATCAAAGGAGAACGGTGAGGGGCTTACACAAACAGTGTGACAAATGAACATGTAACTCATTATCTGCTTCTAAAACCCACATGCAATAGCTATAAGACTGACACCAACGAAGTTACCCAAACCCAAAAATAGGTCGCGCATAGTGTTTTTGGTAGCAAAAACATACTCCAACAGATAACCCAAACCGAGGGTGCATTTTGCATTCGATCCGATCCGAAACGCAAATAAGCGTCTCGACGAAGAGACGACGAGTCGTCCGCTCTCCTGCCTCCGCTCCTCCCTCTCTCGCCTTTCCTCCATTTCTCTCCTTCCCTCCCGAAGCGGTGACGCTGTCCCCAGCCCCCGCTCCTCGCCTGGTCCTCCTTGCCCCCTCCCCCGAGCCCTCCACCTTGCCCATGGGCCGGGACGCGGTCTGGGCGCTCGAGGACCAGTAGCGCTGCCGCCTCCACCGGATCTGGGAGCGCGGCGTCGCGTGGAAGCCCTCTTCTGCCTCGACCATGGCGGGGAGGTCGACGCCGATGGCAACTGCCTCTTCACCGCCGCGCAAACGGCCGCCGCTTCCAAGGCCGACGCGCGCGAGCTCAGGCACCGCGCCGTGCGCTGGTTCGCCGAGGTCTACACAGCCGCGGGGGAGGACGACAAGGCCGCCGTCGACGTCGCCGTGAGGCACCTCTACGCGCCGCCATCTAGGAGCTTGTTGATCTCGACATCCAAAGGTACCACGACTCGCGGATCAGCCCTTGCTCATTGCTCACTGCTTGCTCAAATCTTTTATTTGATTTTCTCGCCGGATCTCGTGTCGGAGCTCGCAGCTCGGCGGCCGGATGCAGGGAAGACGAAGATGGAGGAAACTGGGAGTCTTCTTTTGGGGTCGCTGTTGGAGAAGGAAGGTTTTGGGTGCATGACCCTTTGCCCGTACGTGACTCAAATGCTTGGAATAGGTCTCGTGTTTGCGTTTTCCCGCTGGAGACAGTCTAAGCTAAAGTGTTAGGCCAAAAATGTTATGGAATCTAATCCCAGAACTTGCTTTAGACACTAACAAAAATCCCAGATCACTCAAGCCTGTACTTGTAACTTGTTTCCTCAGACTATACACTAGAAGTGCTATCTAGATGAGTTTCTTCTTTCGAAAGAACTGTTTGAGATGCCACAATTGCAAAACTGAGACTGCGATACAGACAGCGAGGGATATAAGGCTCAGCCATGTGATCTTCAGTTGTTTCCACTCACTCAGGTCTCGCAAGTCTGCTTCTCTGCATTGATAACCAATTTGTCATTTAAACAGTCATCGGTGTTGTATAAAAACATTAAAATTTTACTTACTTCAATATAAGGTAGAGCAAGTTCTCATGGATGGCTTTTGCTGAATATGGAATTCTGGCTGGTGGGGAAAGCGACCGGCCCTGTTTATTTTAGCCTAAATTGTCTCAAGCTGGAACAAACAAGCAGGCTGCCACGGCAGGATGCTAATTTGTTAAGATGCTCGTCCATTTTACACGCAGAAACAAACAGGACCTGAATTGCTATGCCTAAATTTATCGCTGGTACCATGCTCACATCAAGCTTCTCTTTCTTAGCAATAGAGTCCCAGTCCTTTGCTGCGACCCTGTTCTCCAATCAAGGTTCAGGTTGGTAAATGCCAGATTCCGCCGTGGTAAAGGCAAACTGGCCATGGCTAACCTTGTTGGCGTGATGCAGGACGTCTCCGAAAGGCGATGTCACCTGCAGGAACAATCCAGGAAGAAACTGCAGTGACGACCACATCATTATTTTTTCTTTCTTTCTCCAGTGAGAGTAGATCCATCTGTTCTTGATGTTTGTTCAGTCCAATAAACAGGAGCTGTAACTGTAACAAACAAAGCGAGATGGTACGCATCGGTCCGGGTCCTATTCGTGCTGGCATCGGTGATCTTTTTCAATCCATCGCGCATTGTTTGTTAGGCGGGTGTACCTTGGCGGAGACCCTGGGGCGGATGGGGTGCTCCTTGAAGAGGATGGAGTAGTCGGCCATGACGACGACGTTGGACTGGATCTCCTCGGACAGGCACTTGATCGCCGTGGTCGCCAGCTCCAGCCACACCGCCCCACCGCACCCCGTAAGCCACCACAGCGTTGCCGCTGCCACCGCCGCGCCTGCCCGGCATTGCCCCATTGTCGCTGCGTACCGCCACCGCCACCGCCACCAGGAGATGCTGCGTCGTCAAATGGTATTAGGTGGCCGGACATGGTTCTTCTCCGAGAAACAGGTTTCTGTCGGATCTGGAGTTGCCGAGGAAGTCGGGATAGTCAGGTAAGCATCATGCAGTGCAAGCACCTCTCGTTTCATAAACGGTAGATGCAATTATATCTATCTGTTTTTATATAATACTATAATAAAAATTGAATTGAAAGAATTTAAAAAAGGATGTTAATATCCCTGTCCATTTACACCATATCTATATGTATATTAGATAATTGCCCATGCGTTGCAAGGGAGGAAAAAAAATCATTATCGTCGTTTGAAGATCCTCACTAAGCCAAATTAAGATTTGAAGGGTTCGATACAAAATCAAGACTTACAGGGTTTGATGTCTATCAGTTAGTTCTTTAACAAGAAGACTTCATATCGCCAAATATGCAATCCATCCCAAAGTTGAGCCATATTGCAATTTTTCTCATATTCTAAATCCAAACATAAGTTGGATGGACTGTAACAACTGAAATACTGAATTACGATTACTGCCATCAATTCCGAGAGCTATATAAAAATAAACAAATGGACTTTTCTAGTTTTACAACTTTTGATATATTTCTAGAGCTCTCTCCAACTCAATAAACATGTCCTCTCCGTCCTTCTATCATAGACATTTCTATCTTCCTTTGCCAAATTGCAAGAATACCATTACTTGCTCTTCAACAATTCAAAATTGAAATTGTCTTTTTTTAGAAGGCTTTCTGTTGTACTTGTATAGGCTTGAACCTTTTCTGGATCATCTGAATTTTCATTCCTACAAACCAAACAATGTCTTTCAAGACCTAACTGCTACATCTTTGTTCCTCTCAACCTATTTCCTTCTCCCCAAATTACTGAAATAAGTAGAAAAAAAGCAGATGAAGAAACACCCACTGTACAGATTATGAATGGCTCAAGCAATGTAAACAATAAACAGCACACAGATTTCCTGCGACCAATTAACGGCACATGACTGCAAATTTGCATTTCTGATCAAACAAAACAATTACCATAAACAATAAACAGTACACAGACCAGCAAAATTGATATTCAAGAGCATGACCAACCGTGCTAATTCTGAACAAGGAGGGGTTCTGCTCTGAGCTTGATGGGTGTTCTGTTCTGAGCCTGATGAGGGCGAAGGCAGCGAGGGCCTCCACATTGGTGCTGTGCTGCTTTCCTGTGGGCGCAGGAGCTGTGCCTCCACTCCTCCGGCGCGGCGGGGCAGCATACGTCTACTCCTCCGGGCGGCGTCCACAGCTCGGCCGGCGTCGCTGCTGCATGGCGCACGGCCTCGTTGCTGCGCTGCTTTGCTGCAGGCACAGGAGAGATGAGTTCGATGCAGTCGACGGCACCGTGGCGCGCGAAGTGCGGGGCCCAGTGAGGCGCGGTCTCGCAGGCCTAGGCGAAGGCGCGCGCGGCGAGCAGCGGCACTTCGCCGCTGTCGGAGCCGCCGGCGAGGAGCGTGGGGAGGCGCGCGGCGAAGCCAGCGTGCGGGATGGCGAGGATGAAGTCTGTGCCGGACACGGCGACATCGCAGAGCGCGGCGAGCGCCGCGTCCGCCGCCAGCGCGTAGTGCAGCACAGCGTCTTCCGCGTCACGCCGGACTCGGACTCTGCAGACACGGGCGAAGGGGAGCGGAGCGATTATTTGGGCACACCACGATAACAAGCCGTAGCGCGTCACCCCGCTCCCGCGCCCCGCCGCAGCCAGAGACCGAGCCCGGCCATCGCCCCTGCCTTCGCGGCCTCGCTTGCGCGCGTGCTGGCCGGCCGCTCCACCGACCCGAGCTGGTCCCGCTCCCCGACGCGCGCCTCGCCGCCGCCATCTCCGCGCACGGGAACGCAGACTCCGACCACGCGCTCGCGCTCCTCTCCTTGCACCGGGACAACCACCGCCATGGCGCTGCTCCGCCTCCTCGCCCGCGCCGCTCCCACGCACGGAAGCGGAAGCCTGGGCGCGCGGGGACGTCGGACGCGGACTCTGTTTCGTTGGAGCTCCACCCGGACACGGACTCGCTGCAGGCACGTGGGCGCGTGGTGATGCGCAAACGATCCCCTTGCTTTTTTTTTATCTGCTTAGTTGATAACTGAATTTTTCCATGTATTTACACTACCATTCAGCTATATTTATACTTTTCTATTACCATATTTACACAAATTTCTTCAGTGTAATATATAGGGCAGAGTGGTGTAATTTAAAGATAATCTAAGATCTCAGACAAATATAAGCCAAATATTTTAAAAAAAAATACAATTTTTTTTATGGACTCTAGATACCAGAGAAATATATGCTAAATTATTCACAAATATCGTCAAATTGTTCACAAATATACAAATTTACACATAGAAGAACTGAGAGAGAGGAAAGAAGAACAGACACCCGAGAGTACATCTCGTCTTCCAGCAGAAAAAGGGAAGAAAGCAGAGGACGACGGCACACCGGGAAGGCGGCGCCGACACTGGGACACCTGCTGGGACGCCCGCGGGGGATGCTCCACCAGCGTCAAGACCGGGCAAAGCGTGGCGATAGCCTACCTGTTGGGACGTCCAGACGGGCGGCGCAGCGCAGACTGGGCGGCGGCAAAGGAGCGACAAAGGAGCGCTCGCCCGCCCGAGCAGAGGAGCGGCCTTGGGGCGGTGGCAGAGGAGCGACGAAGGAGCACGAGCAGACGCCGATACGTGTAAGATCCAACCGCTTAGAATTCGGTTGAGGGATGGACAAAATTACTCGGTCGAGAGTTGGCAATTCTGTATTTTTAGGTGGTTGTAGTTGTACATATGAATCAACTCGCTGCATGTTGCCTGATGCACATGCCAAATCAAGGTCACAGCTCAGAAAGTGCGTGCACCTGTTCGGCTGTTTCTCGTCTCTTGGACACGACGTGAACTTCACAACGCAGCCGTGTCCTTCGAAGGCCGACAAACCATTGATGGGCCACATTGTATCGGCCTCCTACGCAACGGGCTTCTAGTGGGCTTGGAGTCTACTGGTGGATAAAGCGTACCTTCGTTTTATATCTTTTTTTTTTTGAGATCGTGCATCGGCACGTTTTTCACCTTCGTTTTATATCTCAGCTATATCACCTTACAATAAGGGCTAATTTACAGATCCCAGTACCATGAGTAGTATTATATTGAGCAAAGACTGATAATTATAAAAACAAGATTTTTGCTTCTTGTCTCATGGTAGAAGTGCATCATTTGAGAATCGCACAGTGGCTAATTGCCAGTGTGTTTGATTATGGTACAAAATACCCCCTCCATATTTTAAAATGAAGTTGTTTTTGGACAACGACACGATCTCCAAAGCATAACTTTGACTACTTATTTTTATAAAGATATTTATCAAAAAGTGATATATGTAAATTTTTGTGAAAGTATTTTTCAAGACAAATCTATTCATATGGTTTTCACATTTTCAAACTCAACAACATAAAAGTTATTCATGATTTATATTTCCAATGTTTGACCCAAGTCTTGTATAAAACAACTTCATTTTTTAGTACGGGGAGTATAAATGATGCTCAGTAATAAATAAATGTCCTATGATACAATCATTCCAGAGTTCCATTACTGAAAATGTGATTATTCAAAAATAAGGAACTTTCAATATTGAATAGCTCAGAGCTTGAGGTCATAACTCATAAGCAGTTGTTTCTTGGAGTATTACTGCCAACCATTGAGAATGGATGAAGCAATGAATAAACTAGGGTAAAATACACTTTCCAACCCTCAACTCGCGCCGAAATTCGATTTTCAACCTTCAACTATGAAACCGATTAAGAAACACCCTTCAACTATCAAAACCGGACAAATTTGGTCCTCAGCTGGTTTCAAAAGCGGTTTTCTATTTTCGGGAGGCGCCGAAATTTTATATTATTTTTTTGAGCATCTTAACGTTCTCAAATGAAAAAACTCAAAACTACAAAGTTGTAGATCTCATTGAGAGCGACAACTTTGGTATAGAAAGTATTTTCATTTAACTCCATACAAATAATATATTAGTGCTCTAATGCGGCAAGCGCTAGTAGGCAGTTATTATGGTGCTAAAATTTTATATTATTTTTTCGAGTATCTTACTGTCCTCAAATGAAAAAAAATCAAAACTATAAAGTTGTAGATCTTATCGAGGTCTACAATTTACATATAAAAATTATCTTCATCCAACATCGTATTGAAGGGTTATGATTTTTCAAAATTTGAGTCTCGTCACGCGACAAAACAATACTGTGGCATGCAGGGCTTGCGTCCGGTCAGAAGGTGACGTACGCTGACGTTAGTCGTGAAGCGTTGGCGCGTAGAGGAGAAGAAGGACCGGTCTCTGGCCTAGGTCCGGTCACACCTAAGCGGACGCGTCCAGTCAAGAAAAATCGCCTCTGGATGCTTACTGAAAACGATCTAACGCTGGGTTATCGCGGGGAGCGGCGTGTCCGGTCGTTGGGTGATGGCACGGGCGCGCGCGAGTAGGGCTGGCATTGACGCGTCCGATCCTGTCTCCTGTGCGTCCGATCGTCACTTGAGTGCTAGCGCGGGCGAATCTGACCTTTAGGATCATGCGGTGGAGAATCAAAGGAAGGAACATGTGGCGCAGATCCACGGACCGGACGCTGGGGTCCTGCGTCCGATCGACCAACTAAAGATAATAAAAATGAAAGTGACAATGATGATGAACCAACTAAAGATGAACTAATTGACATGTTGGAAGATGTTAAAGAATATTTTGACATTAAGAGAAGGGAATGCAAAGACTTGCGAAAAGAATAAAAAGCCCTTAAGCAAGCCTTTGATTAGCTCAACGCATCTCATGAGAGGCTTGAGGAAGCCCATGAGAAGCTTGTCAAGGCTCACAAAAAGCTTGAAAAAGCTCATTCCTCTCTACTTAATGAGCAAAATGAGAAGGGGCATGTTATAACATGTGACAAAGGCTTAACTTGTGAT